AGCTGAAGCTGGTCATAGATCTGACAAAGACACAAAAAGATCTTGAGGATTAACTGAGTTAAGAATTGCCCTCCATCTGTTCTCCAGCCATTCCAGCACCATGTTTTGTTTGAACTTCTCGCAGAAACTCTTATCTGAACCTTTACCAGTAACATAGAAGAAAGGATATATTCTCTTTGTAGAAAAAGCAGGTCAGTCCAGTAATACCCATATGACTGCTACCATGTGGTTGCGCCCAATTGACCACTGGATATCTTCAAGAAACCTTCGACTGCGGGTGGAACGCTGTTTTTCCCATTTCCTTTCAAAATTCCATTACCACTATGTCACTCTATGATGTCACTTACATAACAAGCACAACTGGGGAAAGGGGGTGGGGGGCTTGCTCGCGTACAGGGGCGTTCGGAGGTGCCTCTTCTTGTAGGGGCTCTACCTCATCATTTCTGCTCTCTAGCATTTGGCGTTAAAGACGAAAGGACGAGATAGTGCCTCCCCCTCCTCGCTGAGTACACTTTTACCCGCATTCAGCACAATGTTACGGCTCAGTGAAATACTGATTAACGACCTGTACAATAACAGTAGTAAAACCCCTAGGTGTAAAATGCAAGGTCAAGTCCGTTCCGATCAACTAAACACCATCAGCGTCGATTCCCCGTGAACCTCACCCTTCAATAGTTACTGTAGTTACTATGAATGTGGAAGGAGGTTGGTTCGCACCATCTACTATAATAATTATATTAGGTTGTAAGGGAGGTTCTTGCCGTTTTGACTGCTAATTTTCAAGAAATCTTAACTCATCTTAAAGCGAACATTTTTATTCAAAGTAAGTCTCAGTCGATTCTACATACCTTTACCTACGTGTAAGAGTTTTTTTTATTATTATCCTAATATAAACCCGGTGAACTGGATTCGACGATTTCGAGAAAGGCAGCTTCCACATTATTTCGATTTTCAAATTCTCAGTCCTTCAAGAAGTCGTCCAGATATCTGAATAAATGAAGGCCAGTTGGTGATAGGTGTGACGTGTAGGGTGGATGAAAGCGAGCTTCGATCCACAGCTCTTTCAACTTCTGGAAGACGATTTGTGAACCATGCGGTCGCTCGCCAAATCGTGCATATGAAAGCAGCCATTGCAGTGCAAAAGTAGGCGATTCACTAGTGTTGCCCGCATTCGCTCCAGTTTCGTGTACATCTCGTAAATGTAATCAAAGTAAGACTATGCGACAATGGTTTGTCCAGACGAAGAAACAATAGTAGAATAATCCATGGATGGACCACCTAACTAAGATTACTGTCTTCGTTACGTGTAGAATTTGCATGGGAAAAGTTTTTGGAGGCTCTTCTACATCTAAACACCGAGCAGGGCGTTCCTGTTGCCACTACACGATCCATTTTTCATCACACGTCACAATACGATGGGGAATGGCTTAATATCATTTCTTCTCAGCAAGGAACTCGAATTTTTAGGCACCTTGACTGCTGCTGCTCCACTAATGGTGTGACGCCCACTTGTCAAGTTTCCTTACCATCCCAACTGCTTGGGCTGGTCAACGACGACTGTATGTGAAACGCTCAAATGCTTGTTAACCTCTATGAAAGGTTGGCGTCGATCTTCTTCGACTATCCTAGCGAACCATCGTGATCAACCGACGATGGTCAGCGAACTCTCTCTTGGCCTTCCACTTACAGTTCCAGATTTCTGGAACCAAAGACGATGCATTTCGCTCCGCTGCGTGTCCCTTCCCCACAATATTGATGTTGCGGCTCCCTCCTTCATACCTCGACCGATCTTGAACCCGTTAGATAAAACCGTTCGAAAAACAGCCTTCTCCATTCCGGAAGAAAACGTCTTGAGGAATCTAAAAACCTTGCGAAACCTCGGGAAAAGTGCTCTGACAGAAAGAGCAATTTATGGCTAACCTAACGAGCACAAAACGTCGATTGGTCTGATTTGAAAGCCGCCAAAAGTTGAAATAATATGGCCCGTGCGCGGAAACGGCAAGAACTCCCCTTACAACCTAATAGCATTCGAGCAGGAAAGTATGGAAGTGTAATTGTGTGCAGCCATAACTACAATGCCCCCTATTTCACGCACCACTTTCGAGACCGTAAACTGTGTACGATATCAGAAAACGTAGCTCGCAGCCTTTACCCTACAAAACAATGCGTCAGCAACGATTTGTTGGGCTTGACTCAGCGTGAGTATCCTTCAATTATAGTTACATTTAACACTCAACAACAGATCTGCACAACCGCGACTGTTGTGGATCAATGACTTGAAAATAGCGGTCCCGTAGGGATTGCCTTTTCTCGGTAATTGTCTGTCGCAGTGCTTGTTCTCGGCGCAATTGAGTTATGAGGCAGCGTTCGGTTCGTCATTTCGTAATTGTTTTGAACGTGACTTTGCTAGTGAAAGGCCCATAAACTGTCCCTATAGGTCGTAGTTCCTTCCATATTCCTCTCTTAACTTCTGCTACGCTTAGAGGTAGTAACCAGTATCACTTTATTGTTGTTCAGATTTGTCACCTGATTGAAATGAAGCTTTGTGCTTAGTTGCTGTAAACGTTAAATGTAAGCGTTCTGCCTATACTCTACTTTATGTTTTGAAGTAATATTTTGCAATGACATGACGTTCACAATTCATAATGTTATAAGTTAACTTTCCGTTTCCTCATTCAGTTCTGTACTAACCGTGGGATGGAATCTATAGCGATAGATTTTTTATTGTTATTGACGCTTTGCTTTCGAAATTTGTAGGCCCGTGAAGTCTGAATTCCAATCCAATGGACAAAAGCATCAGTATGGTCCAATTTTTTATTTGACGAAAGTGTAATGTTAGAAGTGTAGTGCGTTAGTCTGGTTCAAAGTTATGCCTTACAATTTTTTGATTGAAACCTCTTGTACTTTAACGATTTAAAAAATGGTTTTTAATTTTCATTCACATTCCTTGGGGAGTACTTTTTGACTTTTCAGAAGAGTATTCTTAGTTTTGATTTTTATTGGTTCGAAAACGACATTGACCGTGCTGACCATTCACTTACGGAAAATTGTCATCACATATGTTCGATCTGATAGTCGGAGTTTTTCGAAAATTTACTGTCCCGAGGTCAAAGTGGAGCTGAACTTTTGATTTGGGATTGTCATTCCTTTTCCTGATAGAAAATAAGTGCAAGAGCCGTTTGATGGGAATTTTCGGTGATTATAACCGTGAAGGAGTGAGCTTTTAAGCTAGTGGTGTTATTTTTAACCCCTTTCATAGTTAAACTGAAGGTAGAGGAGCTCATTTCTGTGAACTGGTAATGGGTCAGCCCTATTCCGCACTAACATTTCGCAAGTGGTCAACGGTTCACATTTGGGTCACATCCTTCCCTTCAATATCAGCATGGCTTGGATGTTTAGGTTTAAGTTCAAGGTGGTTCATACTAGCTTTCTTCATAGCTTCATAGGCGTAGATCGTAATAGAGGCCCCTCCTGCTCCCCTATTCTGTAAAGAGCTAGAAAGGGTATGGTGTCCATCCCTTTCTAGCTTTTTACAGTTCCATGGTTTCTGTCCCATGGCGGAATTCAGGTGCCAAACTTTTTGTCATCGAGGCGGTATAGCCGCTCATCTCCAAATGATGTTACGTTAAAATGGTGTCTATAGAATAAGGTTTAAAAAGTGAGGTGTTGGGTAGAAAAAACTTGCACTTTGGGTCAACAGTAGTACAAACAAACTTAGGCTAACAGCTGCAGCCATCACGTGGGTACTTGAGCCCGTACTTTTGGTGTCAGGGCACCTTGCTTTAACCTGTACCGCTTGCATGTTGAGACGGTCCGGTTGAGGCCACAGCTTTGCCCTAAACTCAGCTCTTTGACTTTTCATTGTGAAGTGCGGCGTAAACACCAGTGAAACGGAACAGATCAGATCAACAGCTGCTTGAAATGATTTCTTGGGACAACTTGTGCCCTGAATGTTGCCCCAATAGTAAGCTCACGGCTTCGATTTTGAATATGTGTCACTACTTGCTCCCTTCAATATGTCGAACTAGGTAAAGGGAAGGATGTCTTGGGTAGGGTACCAGTATCTGCTCTTATCTATCTTGCTCTTAGCAGTAATGGCCATTTCTAAAGTAACTGTTTAAAACGGGGGTGTGGTGCATTAGGAACGAAATTGTCGCGTCGGGAGACGAAAGAGAGGTGCGAAGGAATGTAGCAGAATGCAACAGCAAGTTAGAAAAACAGAAACAAAATATCTATCAGTAGAATCATGCCTAAAGTAATAAACGCACAGTGATTGAGCTGTATGAAGAACGCTAGAAATGTTATAACGAGGCAAATGGCCCGCGACAGCCGCGTGCGGCGGATCGATTACATAAAACCGTTTCTACTGCCCGTCTCCCTTCGAAACCGGCCAGAACGAGCGAGGCATCTAGCAAAAGCAGCTATGTTCTGAAATCTCTGGTGCATTTTTCAACGGCTGTAACGGTCTCTTTCAAGCCCTTGAATGTGAGCAAGATAGAATTGTGCTTCCGCGATGGTGTTGAGTAATAATCAGACAATCGGGCAAGGGTCCCCTGATCTGGATTTGTTTGAACCGGTGTCCATTCTGAAATTCCTTTTTTTGGTGATACAGCATACTTGTTCACTTAGCCCAGAACATTCGTCAGTTTTGCCGTTTTTATTATCGATTTGGAGACACATTCTAATTTGTCTGAACTTCTTTTCTTTCTACTAGCTTTTTCTTTTGATGCATCTGTTAGAGTTCAAATCTGAATTCGAAGTCGTAATACGTCTACTTCTCCGCTTTTGCGATATTCTCAAGAATGTAGTAACTTTCACGGACGGACGGGATGTTTGGGAACAAGTAAAACCGATTTGCAAAGAGGGCCCCTCGTTGTTATAGCCTGAGACTTCGACGAGTCTTCATTTGTTTGTGCAGTACCGGTCGTTTTCATTCGTTCATTCGTTTTTTTTTTCCTCATGACGGATATTTTTATTTCTTTTTTTCAGATCACTGCAACATGACATCAGACACCCAAAAGTCTGCCATAATGAAGTTGGTGACGAACGACGGCGAGAATTTCGATGTGCCACGTGATGTGATCCGGCTTTCAACCACCATCAACACTATGCTTCAGGATCTCGGTTTGGATAATGAATCTAATGACCCAATACCGATCTGCAATGTATCTGGCCCAATTATGAAGAAGGTTCTACAGTGGTGTACATTCCATAAGGACGATCCGCCGAGCACTGATGATTCGGACAATCGCGAGAAACGCACCGATGACATTCCCAGTTGGGATGTTGAGTTCCTTAAAGTTGATCAGGGAACTTTATTCGAACTGATTCTCGCTGCCAATTACCTCGATATCAAGGGACTGCTTGATGTCACCTGTAAAACGGTTGCTAATATGATCAAAGGCAAAACACCGGAAGAAATTCGTCGTACGTTCAACATTAAAAACGACTTCACACCTGAAGAAGAAGAACAGATCCGCAAAGAAAATGCCTGGTGCGAAGATTAAGATATGCTGGTTTTATTTCATTCAAGAAACTCGTTATTTTCTCGTATCGCTGCTATTCATATGATCGATCCTTTAGCCCATACTGCAATTGTTTTATCATTTTAACTGCTTTGTTACTATCCATCGAAGTCAAGTGTTTTGTTAACTGGAGTATTCCTGCTTACAATTACACTTTGCGATTATTTCTTCATTTTGTTTAGTTTCAACTCGGTAGAATAACATATAATATAATGCTATCATCACATTTTCCTGGTTCTCGAATTTTCTATGCTGTACATATGAAGAAGAATAAAATCCGAGAAGTGTAATTTGTGTTTTCTTTCATAGGTGTCGTACATTCGACCGATACTCATTAATACTTACCCTTACATTACTGCTTAAAAGAATTGTCTTTGCCTGTATCGGTAGCGAAAGGTCGTTTGATTTTCAGTCGAGGGTTTGAATTTTTCTATCTATATTCCCAAATTTAGCGGTACATCACTGGGCTCATTTTAAAGATAGGAGACTTCTTGGGAAGCTTCTTTTTTCCGCTGCTGTGTTTAGATTAAAGCTGCTGTGTTGCGCTTTGTGAGGAATACGTACGACTTCGTCTCATCTCTAACAAATAATGCTAAGCAAATTTTAAAGATTATATTACATATGTATATATATACAAATTTATATGTGTAGAGGAAGTAGAGGAACTCCACGGTATGCGATCACGTTTTACAAAAAACGGTGCTGGTAGCTCCACGTTCATAGTCGTGATCTGGTGCATTATGGAACAGTAGCCCCGAAAGAATTCCCGCTTACGGTTTGTGGGAATGACTAGGGTGAATCTGAGGGTCGATCTCTGTACACAGTACCACTTTTAGGGTTTTTAGTCCGCACGTGTAGCACAGCACTATTGCGATGTGGAGGGGTAAGGTTTTGAAAGATTAATCTCATCTTCAAGAGGTTGTTTCTATGTGGTCGTGCAATGTAGTCAAGCTTATCTGGCCAGCCAAGCATTGTAAGTAGCCGTTACGAACTGGGCAATATGTTAGGGCTCTTTCTTGCCAAGTGTTCAGAAATGTGGGCTGGTTGTGGAGGGTACAGCTGCTTACCGTTTTTTTTTTATCTCTTTTTGGTGCGGCATGTCAGGTTATATAGAAGTTCACTCTAACAAGCCCTGCTTTGATCTTACTCTGTTAAGTAAGTTATCTATAAATTCTTCTCATTCGAGAATGATGGGGACGACTTGTTTTTGAGAGGGAAGGAGGGGGGGGGGGGGGGGGGGNGGGGGGAATTTCTTCCTCTATTTGGGAGGAGACAGTAAAACGTTTATATCTCAAAGAATTCTCTACCTATAAATGTGGCGCGAGTCTAATAATTGTTAGCTGCCCCCTCAGTGATCGAAAGATTGCTTGGCCTGGACTTGGACAAACCGGGATTCGATCCCCGGATCATGCGGGCATGGTCGTGCGCCATTTGCCACTACACCACGTCCCCCATATTAAATGTAGAATGGAATAGAAGTTAGGTCTGAGGGTGAATATAAAGTCTCAAATTGTGATGGCTTGCTATGAACCGTTTTTGAAGGATTTTAAGAACCGTTATGGAGGTGCCCTACAATATGCCGCCCCATTCTTGAGGATATGTTCCGGCACCTTCTACAAGAGCCATGTGGTTGTCGGCTTCGTATTACCAATTTCTTCAGTATGGGTTCTGTCATAACTGTTAATAAATTAATATAATTACTGTTATTTAGTGTAGACTTGTCAGTTTGTGAAAGTTGCTTGAGTATTACTTTAACAAAAGGGTAAATTTCATTACTTCTTTACCATACTTTTTACAATCTTGATTGTACTTGGTGGGAATTGAGATCAATTTTCCACGTAGGTTTCGTTCCGCTTCTTTGAATTCTATTCTCCGTTTCATTGCGAATGGTCTCCCGTGCTCGTACTAGGGACTCAAAAGCTCGTTGCCGCATTCATCGCACGGCTGATTCTTTTTGATTGAAAAAGTAATCCCTGAAAAAGGGAAGAGAGGGATAGATTACAAAACTCGGTTAATTCAAAGGGCCTTAAACTGTCTAGCTGGTTAGTTATATCTACTGTCTAAATATCGTAAGAACAGGGTTGACGGCTGTATCCGGATCGAGAGATGTCAGCGATCCGCAAGGGGGTGCAGCGGCAGCTGTTTCAAACGGACGATGAACGGCTTCATGCAATTGTACACGTGGTCCGTGTTGATGGGCGCAAGAAGAAACGTCCGACATTCTTCTGTCTAGCTGGTTAGTTATATCTACTGTCTAAAGCAGTGTACTGTTCTAATACTTGATGTACTTCTTCAGTAACAATAGAGCATCCGATATCTGTTCGTCTGTACTTCGTGAAAGGGGAAAAGGACGACACCTTCAAAAAACGAAGCAGATTTTATCTTCGTGATGTCAAAGAAGTGGACGGAATCAATCCGAAAAAGGTGGCCTCTTATCTTCAGTTTCAAGTTTCTTTCAGTTATGACACGTTATTAGCTTGGTACTACTTAAGGCTTTGTCAGAATTTCATATCGTTATTGGCGATCGTAGGTACAGCATCACTGCAAGCACTCCAGAAGAGAAGGACGAGTTTATCCGCGAGTTGTATAAGGTATGACTGTTGTCATTATGCTGTTTTCTGATATCCATTCTTCACTAGTTCTTGATATTTTAAATCTAGGTTATTTAACGTTACCTCCAAGGAATATGGTAGTTCAGTCGTATTGAGCTTTGATGATTCATATTAATGAGTAATCAATAGTTTTTAGCTCTCAGCACAGTATCTTCCCGTCCAAATGCCTGACTTTTGCAACGTATCCATACCAGTCGACAATCGTGAAATGTCTATACTCCCAATAGAAACGGCAGATGAGGATAATAGCGACTTCATCCACGATTATCAGGTTATTCCCGTTATTACCTGTGATTGTACATCTTATCGATCTATTACAATGTAAAGTTCCCCAACACATTAGTAGCTAATCATCCTGTGCAAACATTTGTTCCTTCCTCATCCTACAACATTGTCTCTGTAATCTTTTGTATTTTTTGATTTTTTAGCCTGTCAGCGCCAAAGAAGAAGCTGACTTTCGCCGTCTACTCGCCAAGGCTGAGCTCACCATTGGAGAAGCTGATAAGTTCGCTGAGGTATGCGTCTAACAAGAGCCTCCTTCGTTTTGTACTTATGACAATGCCCTTTTACATGGCCATTGACGTTATATTTCAAATTCAACTTTTACAAGTTTGAACCTTTTCCAGGTCCTTTCATCTCAGTTGCAATCACTCGATGGTGCAAATATTCAGTCAATGATGGGTAGTGAAATGGCGGTGAATCAATTGTTATCCCTTCTGGATGGTGCTCTTGATAAAGTGGCTCTACTGGAAAAGGAAATCGACACATGTGACGCAATCCTTGCGGTTTGTTAAGTTTACTAAGTTTGAGTACCTAAGTACTCGAATGGACGTTTTTGGTGTAAACTCCTTCGCACACGTTAGCGCCTATCATGAACACCCGTAAGCAACTATCATGTTTGAGGAGATCGTTTACTCACATTTCGTAGAAGTGTCGGCTTTAAATACAGATAGGATTTTGGGTTAATCCAATCTTGCCGTTTTAGTCATAGGAAATTCAAAGGCCCTATTGTCTGATCAATGGTCTTAGTAAACAGACGTACCAACAGCTCGAGCCTCTAAAGAATCAGACTCTGATGTATTTGGTTTTCATAGCTTTGCAACTTGTGTCGCTTTAAAATACAACGTTTGATAATTTCCCAAAAAAAGTCACTTTCTCGGTTGGTATTTTACCAATAAACCTTGTTCCTTACTCACTGTGATGATACAAAGCTAATGGTTGAATGAAGTAAAGAAAATATGGCTATTTCAAGCCGAAGGTCACGATTATCCTTCGCCCATTCTGTTATTCACTCATTCCCATTCAAGAATTTCAAGATCGCCTCTTTTGTTAGATGTTGACATCCCGCTTTTCAGCATGTGAGGAATAGTGTGGAGCTGATTGAAGAAAAGGATAGTTTATCGGCTGTTGAACGCAAAAATAAGGACAGACTTCAACAGGAATTGACCGATTTTGTCTCTGCTCTGAATACTGTCACAGACGAACACATTCGCACATTAAAGGAAGCAAACTTGAACGATGCAGGAAGGTGGGATTCTCAATCGGATTCTCTATTTTTATAACTTGACATTTTTATTATTTCTCTTTTTTTCTTTTTTTTTCTTGGCATTACCATTTTTATAATTGGAGACATTATATTGAAAATTTCAGATTACATAGTTGAACTTTAGGGTAAATAATGCACGATGTTACCTCCATAGTAGAACTAACGTCTTGGTCATTCATGCTTGACGCATCTACGCAAATTCAGGGTGGTCATGATAGCAGTGGAACCCTTCACGTGTTTATTCATTAGCTACCCTTTTTGCATTCAATCGTACCAACCTTTTTCATTGTTCGTTTTTATTTTTGGAACTGTTTTCAACGGCATTTAAGACATCTTTGCTCCATTGCTTATCCTGAGCGATTTCGAAAATTCTTTTTTTTTTTCATGAAATTTTGAAGGTGACATAATTTAAATTTCTGATTTCAGTATTGCACGGTGCGCTGAAGCTGCTCGTGCTGTTTCACAGTTCTGGAATGGGTGCATCTCAAAGCCGTTACTACAGATGAAAGCATACGAAAAACGAAATCGTGACCTTGCTGTGATAGATTTGTTTGTGGACCGATTCATGTCTCATCTCTCGGCAATATTCAACAACCTTGTAAGTGTTCCATTTTCATTACAAACTCTTTGCCCATGGCTACGATGTACCATGAGTTTTTCTCGAACTACACTTATATTTGTTTTGCAGAATGACTTCTCTCTCGGTCAAGACTGGCATGCTCTCTCAATACCAAAACAGTCCCAGCGATTCCATGCACTGTCCCCACTTTCTGATCTCATCAGTTGGTTGAAGACGAATAGGTTTGTTTTGTTCCTCTTTCGTGAATACAAAAGAATACCCAGCTACGCTATACGAAAGAATACCCAGCTACGCTTCTATAACGAATGTAAAACCATCGGATTTGTAGGGCGTGAGATTTGCCATTCCGCTAATGCTTACTGCAATGTTCAAGTACACATGTTCTCATTTCTGACGTAGTTTAACTAGGTTGTTCAACAAAAATAGCGACTTTTGGGTGAGTTCGGGTTGGGCTCCAACCTGTAATTGTGCCTTCCCTGCAAGTTGCTCTTTGTCTCTTTCCACGCTGGTAGGGTTACTTTTAGTTTCTCTTCGGTCCAGCAAGTCGGTCCGATACTATAGAGAAGGTTACAAGTTGGTTTTCAACCACAGCCACAGTATATTTTTGAGTCCTAGGTCACATAGTAGTGTAATGGGCAACGTCCCTCAGTGAAGTGCCGTATGTTTCAGGGCACTTTGCTTAACGTTATTGACAAATAACTTTTTTTCATGGTACAATGCCCAACTGAATGACTTTTTCAGGCCAACACCTTACAACGCAGCCATTCAAAGATACGTTGATTCAACAAAAACACTGTATAAAAGACACTTCGAAACGTTTTTCGATGCTGTGATTGCTGAAGTTCAACGATTGGGTTCAACAGATAAGCGCTTAAGTAAGCGATGTTCTGTATATCGATCATTTTTTTTTCGCATCGTAGTGAGGGTACAAAAGATCTTAACCCACAGTATTGTTTGTTACACATCCGATATCCTATTGACAAAGAAAATGATTTCGGATTTTGTGCCTTCAATAGTAGCCTTGGTTGTTGTTCTACGCTGGCCATTTGTTATAACAGGCTCCAGTTTCTGCTGTGTTGTTGTGTTCCCAAACTAGTATTTTCCCTTTGATCACGATATTTTGCTTATGGACATTCCCTTGGTTTGTTGCAGACTCGTCAAATCTATCTAGCAAAAGTTCTATGGATAAACAAAGCTTTTCTATGAGTGAACTTTCTGCGGATTATGCTCATGTATCAACGGTAAGTCCAACAATGTTGAGTCAAAGAAATGTATCGTATCTTCTATGAAACTCAGATATTTCCAGTTAATCGAGACGGTACTTGGAGAACTAGGCCCCATTATCGAAATGGAACAGAAGTTTTGTGTGCGATTTTTCCACATTAATTCGGAACTCATGTCGAATGCTGAAACGACATCCACAGACAGCGGCGATAGTACCAGTATGGGTTAGCTTTTTTTTGTATATTCTGAAATTTCCTTGACCACTGATACATCGTGTCAGCTCGTGCTCCAACTCTTTTCAACGTTGTCTCTTTACCTTTAGCGCTGCAATATTTGGTCGCTATAGATGATTATGGTATGGAGTGTCTTTTCGCTATCGGGATCCTTACTTCCACTCATAGAGGAAACCTGTACCTGCAGAGGAAAACATGGAGAAGCTCATAGAGCAGCCGTTCTGCCCTGTAGCTAGGGTTCTTTCCCTTTTTTTTGGATGGACAGCGAAAAGACAAGAAAAGCAAAAAAATTGTCGATGTGAGCGTCAGGGAATACATGGGCCGGCTACTTGAAAAGATTCATTTGAGTATTTGATAGCTAAGGGAGAGGTGGTGTAGTGGCAAGTGACACACTATCGCACACGCGTCACGGGTTCGAATCCCGGATCGCATTCCGCCCAGGCCAACCAATCCTTCCATCCCTCTGAGTTGATCAACTAGTACCAAACGATTGTATTGGGCGCATCCCTCGGACGGTTTTGATCAACACCCAAAGAAGGGTTGTTAGCTGAAACTTAGGGATGGTGTGACAGACAGCACGTACCATGTAAGGCTTGGTTCACCCGGTTGAGATAATGTCGGGAGTTCATTCCATAAAACAAGTGTTCTAACAGGACCATGTGATGCTTCCTCAAATCCTTTCTCAAAAGAAAGTTTATAGTTCAGCAAAAAACAAAGTTTGCGTTCCATTTAAAAATTAGCACTAACATATTAACTTATGCGAAGCAGTATTCTCTCATCTTTACCGAACCCTCCTTATTGATCGTAGCTTTTGTAGGCGGCCGAAACATTGAAAGATTCATGAACGAGCAAGTTCGTGCAGTAATGGCTCCAATGTTCGAGTCACTAAGTGGTCATTTGGATCGATTTTGCAAGGCTATTTGTAAACAACATCCCAGGTATGTAACTGCTGGTACTACTATATTGAAGGATGAAGTCTTTGTTGTTGTTGTTGTTGTTGTTTGAGTTTGGCGTTAATCAATATCGGTTTGCGCAGCCTAAGTGCGAAGTCAATCGACCCTGGGAGAATGAGCAGCATGTTGCCCTGGGTATATAGATCTAGAGTTCAGTTCGGATGTTAGAGAGGGAAAGTTCAAAGTTTGAACTCAGCATAATTCTATTAGTTCTCCAACTTCTCTCTTGTTTTAACCTCGGCATCGTTGTTTACGTTGTTATTAGTTCTTTTCTGGCGATGATATGAATGTCCTAGACTAATAATTGTGACCTGTGGGATTATATGCGAACAGGATCTTAATAAGAATAGGCCAGTCTTCTTCACTGATGTAAACTGTAAACTTTTGAAACGAAGTAAGATGGTCTGAGAAGTCTATGTTTTACCTCATAACATTGTCATTGAATTCGTAATAACCGTTTCGTTGTAGTAACGTGATGCTGCTGTTCATCATCATGTCGAAAAAAGTATTGCTACCGCAAGAGTCTGGTTCGTACTACTCAGTTACTTTTGGTACATTTGTTGTGTTAATCAAGCGGCAGTTCGATCTGTACATGGTTAGTGAGAGATTTCTTTACGTACGCTTTCTACTACACAATTTTCCCTTTAATTTACTCAACTATCTCTACTTTTTTTTTGTTATTGTGTCTCCAAGTTACTGTAATCTATCACTTTTATCAGAAAAAGTGTTAGAGTAGGATGTATTATATTTGTGGCAGCTGTATCCGACTCTGTGGTGGGAGGGTCAGGAGTGCATGGGCCCCCACTGGATAGTGAATACTACTTTTTCGGGAAGAACAAGAAACGGACTGCTAAATACCCATTCTGTGAAGAAATTAGTGTTGTTCACGTAGTTCTATTTTGCTTTTCACTGGAAAGGGTCTTAATTCAGGACGGTTGCTTCCAGGGGGAATAACCAATTCGAAATCAATGTAGTGTTAATAAAAAAATACTGCACTTGTAAGCCTTTGATTCAGCTAGGAACACATCGTCTATACCGCACACTTGTATTGAATATATATTGAGAGCGATACATTTTTGAAGAAAGGCGATTGCGCAGCGCATTCGACAATGGGATATATGGTCACCGTTACAACCAAGAGATGGAAGAATAGAGTTTGAGGCAGGGATCAATCATGTCCAATCCAGTTCCATTCCCTCCACAGCCCACGTTCCATTTAGAGGTCCTAGTAGTGACCGAATGTGTATTTGGTTCATACTACTTTAGTAGGGAACCGAGTTCCTCGCTTTCGTTCGTTGAAATCGGTTCAAGGTTTGATCCCTTGACCATTCTTGTGGTAGCGATGTCCCTCCGTCCTTCTGCGCACCGGTATTGTCCGAACTCAATCGCAGTGATGTTGGTGGGTAATAGAAAGGTCTGACTTATTTGAGCAAAGAGAGCTGTTCTATATTTTTTGAGTTGTAACCCATTTTCAAGACGGCCTCGACGACAATTACGGTCCTCTGATGGTGATGATCTGCGGTATCGGGATGGTGGTTCTTCTCCCCGGATTCCCACGGCAAGAGGCAGTGGTTCCGCAGCGGCTACCAAGTTTTTCCACTGGGAATTTAGACCGTTCCCTCATAGCGCGCAACTGCGCGCGATCAGTGCGGCGACCGCTACGCGATTTTCGGGGAAAAGTACTCGCACCCGTCGTATCCTACTGTTTCTTCAAAATTCCTTCTAATGTTATAAAAACAAACACAGGGGTGGGTTTAGAGAACTCAAGAATGCTCATGATGACGAGCTCGATTCCTTCGATATCACTTCTCGGTACTTGATGATGTGTATTTTTTTGTTTTCCAGGAAACGGAAGGTATGGCGTTGTCAGATATCAAAATCTCAAAACGAATGCGTCTGGGCATCCTGCCAACAATCGATAGGTTCGCTGAATTTGTAAGAAACGCCGAAGCAGTCTTCGAAGGCGCAGAAAGGCGAACGGATCTTGAAAAATGGTAAATTCGAATAGCCATACTTTACGGATTTTTCAAACCTTTCTTTCATTCAATGTTTTGTATTTTGTTTAGGTACACACATTTATATCGTTGTGTTTGCGAAGGAATAGAAAAAGCCGCCTCAAATCCAAACAGCAAGTCGCCAACGGCTGTAGTTCGCTTTGAGAATTATCATCAGCTGTATTGTTAGTTTCAATTGTTTTATATTAGTTTATTTACTGGCACATCTCAATCCGAAATTTTGTTCAGTGACTTTGTCGGAATTGAAAATCCCCTGTCTGGATGCACAACGTAAAGAGGCGAAACGAGAAAAAGAGGAAAACATCGATTTGTATGTTAGAGAGTACATGGGCCGACCACTTGAGAAGATACATGTAAGTATTTGTTACCTAAGGCTCTTGCGAGGTGATAGCATACAATTGGGCTGTCAAACATTTTTAGCCTTCAAAGTAGAATCTGTCATAAAAACACCATTGAAACCTTATAGGGTGCTCTTAACGTGTTTCTTAAATACAACAGAAATTTTTCAGTCCTACAAATTCACTGGCAATCTATTTGTCACCCTACATTTGCACGAAGACTTCTTTCAGTGATTATAATTAACGAGATCTAGTTAATACACACACTTTTCATAGCGATTATTGATCTCAGGCCCTTCAGTTATATACAGTAGCTGTGGCCTCGTCTGGTCTTTTTTCGAAGTTTCTCGAGATCGAAGTGGGCTGTCGTTCTGTCTCCTGTATGGTGTGGCGTGAATCTGTTCATGTGCAAGAGGCTGGCCATATCGCTGCGGAAGTGGAAGGTGTCAAACCTCCTCGACCGAGACATCAGCATCTTTGGGTGTTGGGGTTTGATCGTATAGTGAACTAAAAAAATCGAATATAGACAATCGTTGTTTTTCGTTTGTTAACTTGCAAGAAGTACATGAAGGTAGTTGTAGAATTCTAGGTTTTTGAAAAGTTGGTGGTCAACAGTATTGGCCGTATTATTCTCTGCCATATTATTTAACAGTTGTAAACTGTCAAGGGAGTTGTGTCACTGGACTCTATTCTCGGGCGTTTGCATTTCTTTAATGTTCATTATCCTTGAGTCTCTGTGCAATTACGGTTGAAAGGAGAAGGCCTAGGACAGCTAGGGAAGTATTGACTGGCGTAAAGGATAAAAGAACAACATCTCTATCTTCGATCCTTTCGTTTTTGAAAAGCGCCCCTCCTCCCTTCGACTTCCATTCTCAATCGTAGTGACGTTTCGAATGCCTATACGGCGAATACAATGACTCTGCAGTCGGTGTTCAAGTCAATGTATATTTGCTTGTCCAAACGAGTCTGGTACCAATCAACCAACCCCGAAAGGTGAAAGGCTCGGTTGATCTTAGCGGAGCAGATATTCGTCCGGGATTCGATCTCCGAACCATGCATATGTGATAGTCGGCCATTTCCCACTGCACCACATCAGTTACCGCGAAATTGCTTTTATTCGAGTAGTTTTTCATTAGTCGATTTCAGGTATTCTTCGATGCCGTTCAGAATGCAATTGAGATGCGGGGAACAAAACCGGAAGAAATTTCATATCAACCTCAGTTCAGTCGTGTTGAATTGAAAAAGGTAACAATTTCATATTTAAACGCAAATTCCTTGGTTTCTTTATCTTTGTTGAGCAGGTAATGTTTAAGCTGTATGCGTTCCAACTAAAAACATGTTCTTGAGTCAAGTATTACATCCGTTAAATATAGTTTTACAGACTTTTTGTGTATGCCTAATCTCGTATTTTTACCGCTCGTAGTTTAGGTGATTGCCATGTATCCTGGTAAAGAAGTTAAGAAAGGGCTAGAACAGTTGTACAAGAAAGTTGAGAAACATCTGGTTGACCATTCTTCACTGCTACAGGTCGTTTGGAGAGAAATGCAGGTAAGGGTTCTGATAAGTTCATCACACCATTATCGTTAATTGATTACACCTGCTAAAATAAAAGGTCTTAAGTAGTCAAACCAACCTCTTTTAGTCTTAATTGCTGTCTGAAATTCGAATAGCGTTCTATGGTGACTTTTTGTTGCACCCAAGATTTCACTGGTGGGGCTCTGGTGGTTCCTCTACTAAGATTTGACGAGCGCTAGACAAAAATGCATTGATCAACACTATATCGGGGAGACTTTACAGTAATGTAATGCCCTCCGCCCTATATTGTCTGTCGTACCCCCTTGGGGATACCCTTTTTCATCATTGGCTGATTTCACATGGAAGTGAAGTGGAAATCACCCTAGTAGACCAAAAGATTCATAGTATACAATACCTAGACGGTGACAAAATCTTTGTACACAAGCTTTACGGACAAGTTCGATTTTAGGATCAGTTCCTCAAGCAACTCCAAGGATATCAGCGTTTGATGAGCACATGTTATCCCGGTTCGAAACTCGAACTGGAAGTGACCGTCCAGGATGTTCTTAGCTACTTCTCCGATATTGCTCAACAGCATTAGAGACTTTTTTTCAATTCCGGCTTTTATCATGAGAGAGTATTTTCTTTATGGCTTTAGATACAGGGGTCGATCATGTATAACTTGGTTTTTTGATTAAAGAGGATTTATAGAGAGGGTATGAGTGAGATACCTTTTTGTATAACTGGTTCACTTTATGAATAAGGGTTTTTCCAGCTCTCTGGTCGCCTGATTGAATTCCATCCTGTGAAGGAAAATTGGATAGATGTACAAACAGCTCCTCACTACAAACAATGCGCTTGCATATGTTTGTTTGTTTGTTTGTTTGTACGGAAATTCGGTATTACCTTTTGAAGCATCTGCCGAAGTCGGGTCGAGTTTGGGATGAGTTGGGTCCAGGGCTAGACCAGAAGAGAATAGATGAGCTTAGCGGAGCTCCGGACGGGACATGCACAGGGGTGAGCGTGGTTATGGGCAAAACGTCCTAACTAGGTTTCCTAACAGCTCAGACGCAGGGAAAAATGAGCAAAGGTGAGTTATGGGTCAACAAGTTAAATGAGTGACGCCCACCGGCGGTGGGCGGAGTGTTCTTGCTGTGGGCGGTCCCTTTCCCATAATTTCATAACTCGATAAACGAGGGCTCAGAAACCAGAAAAAGATAGAAGGAGTGAGCATGGCCTAATGCTTGTTAGGCGTGCGTCTTAGCGAAGTTTCTTCCATGTTGGGCGGGAAGTGCATTCAAATGAAAGCTATTTTTCAAATAAATATAACTCTGTTCAAAAACGATATGAATTGCGGGAAAAAGTGGACAGAGGTAATAGAAGAAATGTGGCGAAATCTTTGAAGTAGGTCATAATTCTGGTTCAAAAAGTGTAGAACTCGGAGAACTAGGCAAAAGTAAGGGATAGGTGAACAGCTCAGACTTAGTAGACTCATCCGTGGTGAGCTGAGCATTCCCGTACTTTTGGCATAGACTCATAACCCACCAAGCCTATAGCCAAATTTCCTAATGGTTGGGCTCATATCAAACAGTCCATCTCTGTT